TATCCCCGAGGAATCATTATTAGTTATTTCTGCCCCATGCTTCAAACACTGCTTTTCCCTTCTACGTCACAGCATGCTGCCAGGAAAACAGGGAACGGAGAAATACAACCCAGTACAACGGAGACAGTGGCGGTGCTGGACTGGGAGAGACCTGGGCCAGCTGACAACTTCCCTGACCCGAGCATTGGTGTGGAGGGAACACACGGAGTCACGGGACTTTGGAGCTGGAAAGTTAAAACAGCTTTGTCCAGTTTTCTTATTTCACAAGTGAGGAACTGAAAGGTGAGGGGATAACACCACCTACCCAAGATCTCACAGCAGGCGGTGTCAGTTTCAAGACCACCACCGTGCCTCTTAATTAACCCCTGCCTGCCCACACGTTAATGATTCATCGTGAGGATTAGGCACATTCACATTATTCACACTGTATTAAACATTCAGTATTTTTACTGCCTTGATCAGTCTCTGACTCAACTCTTTTCATAAGCAGACAGAAATACACAGGAAGAACTTGGTTTTGTTAGTAGCTAAAGTTAGGCTATAGACTCAGATCTAATGAACAGCTAATGGATTCTCACCCACCCCAGATCCTGGGCTGGGCACTTCCATATTCATTGTCTCAGAAACAACTGCAAAGAAACCCAGTGTGAAAAAACAAAAATAAACAAATAAAACAAACAAAAGCCCGAAACTTTTCCAAAGTAAAATAAATGTTTTGACATCCCGACTTTAGGATTTGACCTTCAAGCAGAAACCATGTGCCTCCCAGCATCATTAATAGGGAAGCAACTGTTATGGGTGATTTTGAACTGTTAACACAAAGTGGAGGTATCTAGACTCAATGCCAAACTTCGTTGGCAGGCTAGGTCGTTAAGAGAGGATATCTACTTTTCACATTTCCATGGTTTCTCTTCCCCCATCTGAGCATTTGTTATACGTTTGCTTTATTTATTATAAGGAAATTCCAAAGCCCTACACTTTATGATTTTCACTTACCAGTTTTTAATTTCTAAGAGATTGAAAAGCTAGACAAGCTCCTCAGGTGTCTCCTATGTTTTATTCAAATATCTGTTATTGAAATGGTAAAAAGGGAGTATTTTATGTGGAGACAGAACCTGAACAAAGATAAGCTTCAGTGCCTCATGAAAAACTTTAATTTTTTAAAAACACAGGTTGTGAAACTGCAATACAGACAATGAAATGCCCTCTCTGTAACGGACACATTTAAAATGTATCCAAAGATGGTATACAGAAATTGATAAAGCAAGCTGATATGTCACTTGCCAAATGTCTTTACAGTTGCCATTTAATCAATAACCACAACAATCTTTGAGCAGTAGGAAGGAGGTTGGAAGCCAACAGGTCTATTTAGGATTGACAAAGTCTTGGGTTCCATAACTGAGAAAGGAAGAGGAAGTGTATTCTCTTACCAAAGGTAATTATTCTCGAACAGCTTTATTATAATTCACATATCATAGAATTCTCCCATTTAAAGTGTTCAATTCAATGGTTTTTAGTATACTCAGATATATGCAACTGTCATCACAGTGAATTTTAGAACATTTCATCACCTCAAAAAGAGATCCCATATCTTTTGGCTATCACTCCCCACCCCCACCCCCGCCACCCCCTTATTCCCCTGTCGGTCCTAAGTGACAACTAATCTACTTTCTGTCTCTATAGATTTCTCTGTTCTGTACTTTCATATGAATGGAATCATGCAGTCTTTTGTCACTGGCTTCTTCCACTTAGCATAATGTTTTCAAGGTTCATTCATATTGTAGCACATATCAATATCTCATTCCTTTTTATGGCTAAATAATCCATTGTATGGAAATTTCACTTCCTGTTATTGATTAGTCTGTTGATGGACATTTAGGTGTTTCCACTTTTTGGCTATTAGGAATAATGTTGTTATAACTATTCATATACAAGTTTCTGTGTGGACATATCTTTTCATTTCTCTTGGCTATATACCTAGGAGTGCAAATGTTGGTCATATGTTAACTCTGTTTAATCACTTGAAGAATTGCTAGACTGTTTTCAAAAGCAGCTACATCATTTTACATTCCCACCAACAATACAGGAAGCTTTCAATTTTTGCTCATCTTTGCCAATACTTGTTATTATCAGACTTTTTGATTCTAACAATCCTAGTGTGTATGAAGTGGTATCTCATTGTGGCTTTGATTTGCATTTCCCTGATGACTAATAATATTGAGTATCTTTTCATGTGCTTATTGGCCATTTGTATAGTTCCCTTGGAGAAATATTTATTCAGATTCTCTGCCCATTTTTTAATTGAGTCAAATTGAGTCAATTTTCAATTTGTCTTTATTATTGTGCTGTAAGAGTTCTTTATATATTCTGGATACAAGTCCAAAATCAGATTTATGACCTGGAAATACTTCCTCTCATTTTGTGGGTTGTCATTTCACTTTCTTGATGCTATCAATTCAGATATTTTTGAAGGACTCAAAAAATTGTATTCATTCTACTTATCACACTTTGAAAAACTTTCGTTTTTCATATACTGAAGAATATACTATAAGGCATGGACTTGTAATTGTGGGGTTTTCACTCCCATAGTAGAAGTAATAGATCACACTATTGTGCTATAAAGCAGTAGGATGCTCCCAACTCAGAAGACACCCGTTTTCTTCCTACTTATGTTACTCACAGTGTGACACTTGGTGAATCATTCATCCTCCCTGGGTCTTAATGACCTTATCACAAAATGTGGAGTTGAACTAAAACAGTGGTTCTAAAACATTCTCAATCAGTGGAAAACATTTTCAATGAAATAGTAAGTGGAATCCTAACATACAAGATAAATAAAAGGGTTCTCAGTCAGATAAATTTATTGTTTACAACCCAAATTTTAACATTTCTTTAAAATTCAATCAATGAGCATAGAGGTGCTATATTAATACAACCACTTGAAACCCAAGAGTATGGGTGACAGTTGACTCAAGCACTGCAAAATCCCTGCAGCATATTCCATAGGATAAAGTATATAAACCAATCAGCTACTACAGCATCCCCTCCAGGTTCATCTATAGCTCTTGCCCGGTCTCACTGGGATCATTTCTGATATTCCCAGGCTGATAGGACCTCCTGCGGCTGCTGCTTTGGTGAAGCTAACCAGATGTCACTCATTTTTCTGGAGAAAAGGGAGAAAATAGCACATGATGGAAATAGTCCCTCAACAAGAATATCTCCTTCAGCAGATATTGAGGATCCTCCTGAACTCAGGAGTCCCAGAAATTTGATAACAGAGGGGAAAAGGGAGTCTTCAGAAGAGACAGGAACTTTGAAAAGACACAGCCTCAGGCCCCCACACCCCCTTGGTCCCGAAAGTGCCAGCAAGTCTCTAGCAGGTGAGTGTGTGTCTTCCATGAATAATCATGAGGGGTCCTCTGCTTAGGCTGTGGGGTGTGGATCTCAGCCTACAAGCCTTTTCAAATGTTTTATGTAATCATTTACTAGTTATCTTAATATATGAGTAGGGTGACCATCCATATAAGTTATCACCCAAACCTGAACACTGTGAGTATGAAAGACAGCATTATCAATAATTAGCCTGGGCCAACAGTTGTAAACCAGACTGTTACCAGGCAAACTGGGATGGATGGTCGCCCTGGTTAGGAACCTCTTCCTTTCCCAACAGAAGATACTGCTAAAAACCAGATAATTTGCAGGCATATACCACTAATCCGGTAAAATTTCTATATCTTCAGTGAATCTTTACTGTTTTAACTTTAAGCAACTTTTCAACTTTTTAAACTAAGCTTTTGAAGTTATTCTAAAATGTAAAGTGGCGAATCAGCCTAAGAAGCATCTGTCCTATTAAGGGGAAAAAATTCACTTCTGAATTCAAGGTGCTGACAATATACAAAAGAGAACATAAAATAAATATGGGAATTAAATTGATTTACTGAATATGAATTTGATTTAACTCAATTAATTTTGACTACATCAACATAAAATAATTCAGTTCTACATTCTTGGAAGTACACGTTGGCTGTAGATAAATATTTTGAGGTCCTTATTCTTTGGATTTCATTTACTGAATTTTGGCTTTAAATAATTTTTCTGTTTATATTATTCTATTTTATATTCCCTGATAGACAAACATGACATCTTTTACCCTTTCTTTCTCCTTTTAGTTCTATTTATAGCACTATTTAGTTTATTCTTCATATGGTGCATTCACAACACTGTATTAAACAAGATTTTAAAAAAATGTATTTTCACATCCACACTTGCCTGATCACAAAGCAATTTTACTCTAGTAATCAGATTCTCATCCAAAGTTTTGCCCTTCCTTTGATACCACTGAGCATCTGGGAGCTAGGATCCCTTCCAAAGCTACTAGTCAAAAATTTTTGCCCCTCGGCAGCCCCGTGGCCGAGTGGTTAAGTTTGTGCACTCTGCTTCGGCAGTCCAGGGTTTCGCCAGTTCGGATCCTGGGCGCAGACATGGTACCACTTGTCAGGCCACGTTGAGGTGGCCTCCCACATAGCACAACTAGAAGGACCCACAACTAAAATATACAACTATGTATTAGGGGGATTTGGGGAGGAAAAGCAATAAAAAAAAAAAAACAAAGAAGATTGGCAACAGTTAGCTCAGGTGCCAATCACTAAAAAAAAAAAAATTTGCCCTATATCTGCATGTCCTTAACTAATCTACATTTATAGTATCATTCCCATAACTGTTTATTGTTAGTGAGATGGAAAAATCCAAAATAAAAGAAAAATATCATCCCTTTTTATAATTCAAGATATTCACAGAAGGTTGTTTATTAATGAAATTTGATCTAAATTAAATTTTTAGGAGTTTCTCAGATATACGACTAGCAATAATGTTGAATAGTTTACTATTTATTTTAACATTTATCCGTTTGAAAATAGGAGCTGATAGTAACAGCAGCTGGGGGAAAGGATGAACAGATTTGGCCTAGCTTTTGTTTTTCCATGATTTTAAAATATACTCACCTCCTCCAAAAGGTCCCCATATGACTCGGCGGATGGACTTCACCCAGTCTTCCATATCATTCTGGGTGCTCGCCATGAGGAGGTAGCTCTCATGATTTGCTGTCATCCGATCTCGATCGCCTCCTGTAAGAAGAAAGTAACACATGAATGAGAGCTCAGCCAAAGATTCCCCATCAGCAGCCTCCTAGGGAGTTCCTGAAACATGCACTGTGCCTAGTGCAGCCAGCACCAGGTTCTACCCAATAAATTGGAAACATTTACCATGGTTTCAGCATGGAAAAGAAAATCTGCTTGAAAAGGAAAGGCTCTTATGTTTCCAGGAGAAAGCTGGAGAACAAATGTGATTCCCCAAACAAAGCCTGCCTTTTTGTCATAGCAACAACCCATAGGCCTGCATTGACTCATAATCCAATCTATTCACACTGCGCTGCTGAATAGGGAGAAAGAGCAAAAGCAAAACGAAAGATGGAGAAGTGGTCCACAGAGCCTGGATTTTCATGTGAAGCAAGTGCTGAATAGTCTGAGGAGGATTGCTTCGCACACACACTGAGGTACCAGGCCACCATGGGCGAGGACGGGAGCTCTGGGATAAGGAAAAGAGCCACATGTAAATATTTGACCCAGAAGTCCTCCTCCATTGCTCAGTCCTGGAAGGGAAGCCTTTCCCCAGATCACACCTTCAGAAGGGCAAACAGAGGAGGGAAGAGGAAGACACAAGCCTGGTCAGCCACAATGGCCAAATCACCGCCAGATGGCCCTCACACCCACGGGTGATTTTAGGAAACCCCAGCGGTGTCCCCATGCAAATAGTTCATGGTACCTCTGATTTTTTTCCTCAAAGAACAAGCCCAAGGGCCGGCCCAGGGTTTCACCAGGTCAGATCCTGGGCACGGACTTGGCATTGCTCATCAGGCCACACTGAGGTGGTGTCCTACATAGCACAACCAGAGGCACTCACAACTAGAATATACAACTATGTACTGGGGGGCTTTGGGGAGAAAGAAAAAAAAAAAGATTGGCAACAGTTGCTAGCTCAAGTCCAATCCTTTTTTTTAAAAAAAGAACAAGCCCATGCCCTTTAAAACCTTGAAAATCTCTAATATCAACTTTGAAGTGCTAGAGTTCTGACACATGTGATTTAATTTCTTAGAAATCTTTTATAGTACATTTAAGTTTCCCTGGTGATTTAATTTCTCATTTACAAAATAGGGATAACCATCTATGACCTTGAAAGAAGTCTTGCAGCACGGTTCTCCTTGCCTCTTACTTTATGTTTAAAGGACTTTTTCCAAAGACACGTAATTGTGACTGTACTGTTTCATTGTCTTTGAAAATAATTAGTGTTGTTCACAGAAGGGATAATTAAGTGAATGGAGCATTAAGTATTTAACTGAACTCTGATAATATTTTAGTACTATACTAACTTCTAAGGTGCTCAAATAATCTATCAACCAACATTTAATTTTCACCAAGTGTTGGAAATGTGCAGCATTGGGTTGAATTAATTCACATCCAAGTGGTTGATTTGGTTAAGACAGTATTGTTATTTGTTTTTAAGTAGATCTGAATACCTTTATGAGGAGCGTCCAGCCTCCAATTTACAAAAGGCCCCACCACTCCCCATTCCTTCACATCCAACCTAATTCGCACGTAGCTCTGAAAGCTAGAGGCATTTGAGTTTGTGACCTATGAATTCTGTACAAATGCCTGAGGTTGAGAAATACAATTATTCCACCATTGATGTAAATGTGTGGAACAGGTGAAAGGTCAGAGAAATGCAATAATTTTAAGCCAACCAGATGAACAACTAGAATTGATGTTTTACATTTTAATACAACTGATGGGAGCAGGGAGAGGAGCCACATCAAACAGGTTTCTTCATGTCTACAGATCTCTTGAATAAACAAGACTAGCCTTCTCACATTATAGAGAACATCTCACTATTTGGGAAACAATGACCCTCTTACAACTCTAGGCCTATCCCAGGTCAACCATCACTTTAAGCAACTGGTAGCTGAAAAAACATAGATTTAGGAGTCAGAGAAAATCCATCTGAAATCGCAATTCTTTCTTATATTAGCTGTTTGACTTCCGGGAAATTACATAATTTCTAGAAAATCAGTGTCTTTAACCATTCTTTAGAAATAATAATCCCTATACAGTAACTTTTTGTGAGAAGTAAATGAAATAAAGTAAGAATAAATATTAGCACTGTGTTAGGCTAAAAGAAATTCTGTAAATATTAATTCAGTCTCATTTAACTGCTTCCCACACCTACAAATGCACAAAGGACATATTACATTAATTTGACCTCAGAGATATTATGTCTAGTAAGTGCTTGGGAACAATTAGTCAATAATATGCATACACAGGTATTTTTTAAAAAAAAAAGAAAGAAAATCTATCTTTCTTTGATACATGACAATGCACATTAAAATTGTATACTGTACAAGTATGTAAATATGCCACATATTAATATGCATATGCATGGCTGTATGACATGTAAGTGGCAGAATAAACTAAATGATAAAAGAAAAAGATGGTTCATTTGGCACGGCACAGCACTAAAAATGTATTCCGTATTCTGATCCACTTATACCACTGTCCTGGGCCAAAAAAATTACCATCTTGAAATCAGAGTATTTTAATTATTGTCTTTGCCTGAAGCATGCTTAGCACTGCAGACAGCAACGTCCTGCTGTGTCGCTCCCAGCCCAGGCAGAAACAGCCCTAGTAATGAGACTGAGTGACAGCCGCCCGAGTGTGTTTCTGCCTGAAAGCATGGAAAAAAGAGATTGATAAGCACAACTGGCCATTATCCCCTGACTTTTCATTTGATCTTCTGTCTCTGCCAATCGTGCTGTGTCTGACCCTGAATCTCATTTAGACTGTCAATCACAGATATGAAATCCCATCTATGAATTTCACTCATGGATATAGATCTTGATTCCTCAGTTTATTAGCAAAAGAGAGGGGGAAAGATTTACAAAAACTTTTTCTATGAGTCTCAGTGGAAATAGAGACTCATTGCTAAGAATGTGACTAAAACAATTAGAGACATTTATATAGATACGAACTAGATACTCTGTACTAAAAATGTGTGATTTGTAACTGGAAATGCTGTCTCTCCTAATTCATAATCCTTCAGTTCTAAGAGCTGGTACTGTGTCTTGCAATTGAAGGAGCTCAAAAACAACTTATTAAATGTACGATTGGATAAATGAACAAACTCAGTATTGACTTTCAACCTTGTGGAACAAGTTTCACTCTCTGTTATTCCTTTATGGGGCTTAATGCTCCATTGAACCATTTGAGAATCTAAAATTCTTTCACAAGATGAAATTTTAAAAAGCAGCCTTGAGATCTAATTATCACTGGAGTGAGAGTGTCATAGTCCTCATCAGTCCATATATATGTATATACGTGTGTGTCTATTATACTATAGCCAGTATACATTCTCCATTCTTAAATTCTGCTTGAACATAAATATCTATGTGGTTTTATTTTTATTTTTTAATATTAGTTCAGATGATTGTGGATTTGCATACATTTTAAAGGACACAATGTATCAGTAAATTTTATGCACCTTTTAGATTTTAATTGGCTTGGTAGCAATGGTTTGGTGCTAGTGTTAACACTAAGTGTTTGTGATTTTAAGTTAACTAAGTAGGTCACATCATTCGATTTTGTTTATATATAATTGAAAGTATGCGTACATTTCACTGGGATCTTCTGTATATTTATTTGATACGAATTTTTCTTTCCAAGAAATAAAATATTCTCCGAAATAAAATAAATACTTGGCATGATTGACTTTTGCAAAAATTAAAAGATAGATTAAGAAAAGTCTAATGAATTTAATATAGTAAGAAAAAGCTTAATCTAAAATTGAAAGGTCGATTAAAGAAATCTACATTAAAGTAAATGCACAGTTAATTCAAAAAAGAAATACAAATATACATTAACCATATGAAAAGTTCAACTCCTGCCATAGTTACAAAACAATAACACAAAAGATAATATTTTTGATGAACAACTTTGCAAAGAATTTTTAAATTTTCAAGAGAAATATTGGAAGTGGTATGCCAAGATATACATGCTCATTGCTTATAGGAGTATGGATAATACTCCTTTTAATTCAGCCACTAAAACAGGATTTTAAAGAATGTTTATTAATATGAGTTTTTAGTATACAAAAGGAAATATATAAACTTTATATAAGTTATATCTCAATTTTTATGTAGGTAGAAAGCCAGAAAAATAAGATACCAGATTGAAATATACAACAATTTTAACAATGGTTATCTCTGAATGCCAGGAATGGGAATTTTTTTGCTCTCCTTTTGTACTTTTCTGTATTTTCCAGATGTTCAACCATGTGATATGTTTCACAATACATCTATTATTCCAGATGTTCTACCATGTATTATTTTATTATCAGGGGGAAAAAAAACATTCTTCAAAAGAACGAATTGTAGGAATTGTATGGTTGTGGAGGCCAAGGTGAGCTGGAAGGTAATTAGCACTAACCTCACTCAGTGCTGCTAAAGGTTGTTCCTTTTGAATTCTCATCAGTTTACCTACAGCCTCTTCTTCCTCTTTCCCCAGAAACTGATCCCTGAGCACACTCCCAGAGGAAGATTTGTGACAGGAGACCAGAGTTGCTCAAAGTGCAGATTACATCTCATAACTAGGACTTTCTCAGGGAAAAAGAAACTTTTTCACTATGTGCCTTACCTTTCTTTAAAAATATATTTAAAGAAATATTTTACTGAATATATTGTGTGGAAATTTCCAAAAACAGTCACTGAAATAGATTTTTGTTATTTTTTCCTTGGAGAAAAATAATTGTAAGTTGTCAAAATTATGAACTAAAAAGCAAAAAATACTCGAAAGTGATGTATTTATGTGTGTCATCTCGGGTAAACAAACTTTTAAAGATATTCAATGAATTATTTGCTTGTATTTGAATTTTAAAACAAGTTGCTCAAGGGCAACTGTGGTCACAGATATTTGGGTTCATTTCCAAACAGAGTTCACAGAACAGACCTGAGGACATTTGAGTGAACACTTCTGATACTGTCAATAATGTCAAGGGCGAAATGTTTCCTCATTCCCAATTA